AAAGAAAGAAAGGAAGGAAGGAAGGAAGGGCTGGGAATGTAGCTCAGTTTTAGAATACGCCTAGGTTTAATCCCCAGTACCACACATACACACAAAAGCAATACCACAATTAAACAATGCCCTGACTTTTATAGTCAACTAATCCAGAATTTTCACTCATAGGAAATTCATCAAATTAGCTTATTAATTCAACCAATGGTGATTGAACCAACAGGGTAATACCATGACCAGTAAAAACTTAGACCCTGTCTTCCCAGAATTTAAGGCTTTGTTTCCTTAAGTTAAATAAGCAGAAGCAATAAGCTGCTTGTTCTAAAGTTTATTATGTTTAAGTAGAAATTTTATATTGAATTTTCATTATGTTCATGAATTTATTTTTTTAAAAATATTTACTTTTTAGTAGTAGTTGGACACAGTACCTTTATTTTATTTATTTATTTTTATGTGGTTCTGAGGATCGAACCCAAGGCCTCACATGTGGTAGATGAGCTCTCTACCACTGAGACACAACTCCAGCCCTGTTTGTGAATTTCTCTAAGGTTCTCGCTGGTATGCATGGCAGATTGGTTCCAGGACCATAAACAGATACCAAAATCGGAAGATGCTTAAGCCCCTTCTATAAAATGATACAGTATTTACATGTAACTAATGTACCCTCCTACATCCTTTAAATCATTTACTTGTAATACCTAACCCAATATAAGTGCTATAAAAATAGTTGTTTATTGTTTGGGAAATAATGTCAAGATAAAAATGCCTGTGCATATTCAACTAACGCAGGTTTTTTGTTGTTTTGTTTTTCTCCTGAATATTTTCCATCTGCAGTTTGTTGACTCTGCAGATTTGGAACCCATGGATACAGAGGGCTGCCTACTTAACTGGATATTTGATTTTGTAGGTTGAAATACACAAATATAAAATTAAAGTTTTCTTTCTTTCTTTTCTTTTTTTTTTTTTTTGGTACCAGGGCTTGAACCCAGGGGTGCTTAATCACCTCCCTACCTCCCCACCCCTCTTTATTTTTTACTTTGAGACAAGGTCTTGCTAAGTTGCTTAGGGCCTGGCTAAGTTGCTGAGACTGTCTTTGAACTTGCCATGCTCCTGCCTCAGCCTCCTGAGATGTTAGAAAGGAATATCTTGAATTCCTACTTGTTTCTGGCACCCCAGTGAGTCTTCCCCAGCTACTCCATCTATCCCCACTGCTGCCCCAGCTCTTTTCTTGCTAATGTATTGACTTAAGATCCCTTAGAAGACAGCTGTTGCAAGACTCTGCGGGTTCCTCCCTCTCCTCCCCCTTTTACTTTCCTGCTGTGGGGAGCTTTGTCACACCACGTCTGAACCTTTTATTTTTATAAATAGCAAAACTGTGAAGCAAAGTGGTGTTGGCTGCTGCAAGTTAGTAATTAAAGCTGCCACTTGCTGACATAGTTCTTTTTATTTAGTTGACATAATTATGTTGAAAGAGCTAGTTTAATGGCCACAACCCCTCTCCTAGATCTTAAAGGACAGAATTTTAACCTAAGTTGCATTTGAAAATTTACCTTGATTTCCAAATGAAAGGTGTATATTCAAACACTTTTAAACAGATGAACAAAAAAGCATAGGTATTGAAGAGTACATCTGAAGAGCTTTATTTTATAAACATGTAGACATGGGTAACAACTGCACATGAAGGAGGAATATAAATACATTTTGATCCTGAGGCATGAAATAAATGCTTAAATCTTCATGTTTTTGGGATTTCTCATGCAAGCATTTTGAACTAGTGGCTTATTTTCTTCTAAATAAAATTAGAGTTTTTCAGGTACGAGTTTTCAAAAGCATAATTAATCTAATGTAATGAACACTTTTTGAGTGCTTACT